CGTTGGGGGAAGAAAAAGGACGAGCGGACGTGTGGTCTGTAACTTAGAAAATGTTGGTGAGGGCTGAAAGAGTCACGCGCTCGCGATGTATTTGCGGTGGTAAATTTTCCTCGCTCTCGACAAATGTGGCAAATTTTCCTTTTAACGGTTTTCAGAGGCGGTGAAATTAAAAAAATTCCTTTGAGAGTTTCTGTCAGCGCGCTGTAAGTAAATCAAAGGAAACTTTGTGCTTCCTTTTGTTCCGTGTAAAGTTTTGAGAAAATTAAGGGATCTAAACACATGGATTTAGAATTTAAGAGATTTTTTTATTATCAAGAACCGAAAGTTCAAATATTGTTAGAACTTCTACATCCGCTTTGATTTTTTGAACTTGAAGAAAAGAAAGGAAAAGAAAAAGATGTAAAATTATTTATTTTATATGAAATATTTCTATATATTTTTATATATTTATTTATATTTTTTTTATTTGAAGGAACAAGACGAGAGAGAGAGAGAGAGAGAGAGAGAGAGAGAGAAAGAGAGTTTTAAACTTTTTGTAAAATCTTTTAGAAAAAAACTATATGTTAAATAGGATAAATAAACGATCAAAATTATGTTATTTACAAAGACTTGCGCGATTTTATATGATAATAACAAAATGCATTTTCACGAATATGTTTAAAAAAATAATCCTAACACTATTTATACTTCTACATAAAAAAAGTCGAGACATGCCATGGTCGCGTGCGATTTGCGCAATGCAGGGCTTCGTTGTCGGATATATTATTGCCACGTAAAGCACCGAGTAAGCTCGTTAAAGACAAATCTTGAGCTACAGACGGATTGATTAGAACAGACGTGATTGATTAAAATATATTTTTCAATGTTACTGCGCGGAAAAAATAAAAAAAGATTTTATCACACGTTTAATTTTATAGTACATCATAATTTAAATATATACGATTAAAAGAGATTCATTAACTAGTATACAAACTAGTTGTAAATTGAAAAATGCTAACACAATAGTAGTGTTTTCTTTTTTTGATAGCGATTAAACATTTGCGATTACATTATATGATCTAATTATAACGGATCTTAATATTCTCACATGTTCAAATTTTTTAAATTAATTAAGATCTATATAGATGTATTTTTCCATTAAAAAAACGTAAAAAGAAATTTTTGACAATAATATTTTTATAACATAGATTTTAAAAAATGATTTAATTTAAGTTGACTTAAAATTTGCATTCATTTTTTTCACAATTAAATTTTTTAAATTTAAAAATAATTATAAATTAAAAAATTAATTATTTTAACTTTCAATAATACGTTGCATTATGAGCACTGAAATTATTTTGGAAAAAAGAGCAAAATTCACGATTAAAAATGAAAAGAATAACGACTATTTTTATAAAAATATTAATAATAGCGCCAAGAATCAAAATTGGCAATGATAATAGGAATTTGTCGTGCTACCGTGGAGTTTAAATCGCATTCTTGCAATCAGTCATGTTAACGGAGCCAGTCGATGCGACGCAGTTGAGGCCAACAATAATAATAACGATAACAGCAACTCCGTCGGGGAATGCGCTGGGTAGTTCTCCCGGACACGAACGGTAAAACGACAAGGAGCTCGACCTCCTAACCCCTAGACCTACGGGACGCGCTCGCGCACGCGATCACGTTTTCTCATAGCTTGCCTTTTCCGTTACGCGGTAATTTTACGCGAAATGCGCGCACATGATCAAAACGGCGCTTTTAACGCGCGAGAACGGTAGCGCGAATCTTGTTGTAATTGTCGTGACTACCAGGAAAAATCACCTGCAGAATAACCGATATTCACGCCCTTACTCGCTGCAACGTCTTTCAAGCCTTCATCATAAACGTCTTAAAAATGTAATCGCGACACGATCTTCTCCGCAGACTTGGATTAATGATACCTGTTAAGCCAAACGGCGGATTTACTCACGTCTGATGATACTGATTAAATGGACGGTAATTTTTGTTACGTCTTGATAATTGTCTACTAATTATAAAGACTTGCCGATTATTGACATGTTATTATTGGCCAAATTCAACAACATGCACCATTAACTGTAATTTAACCGACTACTCATTTCCTATATCATAATGCTGTGTATAATTCAGACGGGAAAAAGTATAGTCACTACTAAATGTCGTTGTGTGGTAGAAGTATCTCTGTATCACATAAAATCTATGGGTCTAGTAACTACATTGACGTACAGCTACGTCATATAAAATCAATGCGTTGCCAACTATTGACGTACTAATGCGTCATATAAGACGATGGGTCAGCGATTATCGATGTAACGTTACAACGACTCTTTATCCGTTGTATTTTAATATTAACTTCACAACACTGATCATTATTTACATTAACATTCTACAGACAAACGTTTAACCGATCTTCAGACATAAAACATAGCGGTAAATGCTACGTATAAATTTAATTCTCGAATATAGTTTTATCAAGTAATCATTTTTAAATATCTGATGAATGAACATTTTATTTGCACTAAGCAGCACGCATTTAAAATATAATTATACATAATATGTCTTGAAAATTGAAACATTTTCTATAATATTTTTTAGAGATTTCGAAATATAAATATAATTTAAATAAATAATTTATAATTTAAATAAATGAAATGTATATTATAATATATTAATAATACAGGAACAAATATCGTATACAGTATACAATATATATTTTATCTACATTTATTAAAAAGTTTGTCTATTAAAAAATTTATCTTACTGTTACTTTTGTAATTATGGATAATGGAAAATAAAGAGCAGATATGAATTATCAATAATAACAGTCTAAAATATATATGAAAAAAATCAATAATTTTTGCGTTTAGTTTTAAAATAGAACTATTGAACATCTGATCATTATAATAGCTTTCCATTATTTTTAAGGAAAATAATAAAATTTTATTCAATTTAACGTTTACATATCCCAAAATCTGATAATATTTACATAGAAAACTTATTGTTAGCGTTACTCATTTGTTGCAACTATATAATGATCATTAACTTATTCTTTGAAATAAATGCAAATGTATGCATTTAAATAATATTCCTTATTATTTATTTAAATTTTAATAACTATAAGGACTCTGCAAGAATTACACGTCTCATTACATATAGTCACATTTTTAAAATAAAAATTATATAAATTCATCAAAATTAGATAGATGAAAAATTTTTGTGAACTGACATTGACTATTCGTACATAAAAAATAAATATATTTAAATAATAAAAAATACATACGTTTTTGATCTTTGGTTTGGATCTTCTTTAGCAAAAAAATGTAAAAATATAACGAATGTTACAATTAGTGAGTGAGATGCTTTTTCAAATAGGAGGCAATTTTAAACTCTTGCCCAGATATAAAAAGTCAAATGTACAATATCTTTAATATTTGAAAGTATTTAAATGGTGAATCAAGTAATGAAATTATTACAACAAAAAATGTACAGCTGGAACGTGATATTAAATACTATGAACTTATGTAATAGAAGTTTCAGTCCGTTTCGAGAAAAAACATATTTATTTTTTCATTCATCGTTTTTCATTCATAAGTCCCGATCTTTAAGTTATTCTAAAATATTATAGTAAAAAGGGGGAGAAAGCGAATTGTCGAACAATATATTTCTTATTTGTTACAATGACACATTTGAAAAAATAAAGTTATCTAAAAAATGAATTGCAATGTTTTGAGTTATTAAAATTTTGTAACATTAATTTTGAAATGCAATTTTAGTGTAATAATAATCGAGTATAGAGCAATAAAAGTATGTTCTTTTAAATAATGTTTTTGTTCTTTATGTTTCCGTTCTTTTTCTTACAAGCACTAGTGAATAACAATTTTTCTAATTATCGTTATTGTAACAAATAAACAATATTAAAGCAAAAAGGTCGTCTCTCGATGCCTTCTTAAGCCTTCTTAATAATTCACACAAACGCTACGGTGAATTTTCCCATCAGGTCACCTATCTTTTCGTACATCCGTATCCATCAAATGCGCTCTCTTCGCCCGTGAGGGCGCTCTCCAATGAGCGCGACAAGGATGACAAGAGAGGCACGTGGGGGCTACTCATGCATCGGCGAAGTAACGGTGTCCGGTAACCGCGTCAGAGCCGGTGCTAGCGGTACTCGCCGGCGTTCCGTTACTCGACCGACAGATCCGCTAACGCGACTCGCGCTCTCTCCTTCTCGCTCATTGTACATTGCTCCTTTCTCCGTCATCGCCGCCGCGCCACCCGCGCCACCCGCGCCACCGCAACCGATACGCTGTCCCTCGTCATCCGGACAAGTATCAACGCATCGCGAGCCGCTCCGTCTCGCCGCGCGATTTGCGTGCTGATGGAGTAATGGCCCAGCGTTATGCCAACGCAATTACGCGATTACGCGAGCGAGATCGTGGACTTAACCGCCATTTCTCGCAGAAGACAGAAGACAGATAGAAAACGGGACGTTTGTTCGATGTAAATAATAAGAAAAGATCAGCTTGCTCATGAAACATTTAGTATACGATTTATTAACCTACGTCGACGCGTTTGAAGAGCGCGTGGTTTGAGAAATTTTTAATTGGTCTTTTTTCTCACGAAGATTTAAGCTTTAATAAAAATATACAATTTAACATTGTGATCTGATCAACGAATACAGAAACAATAAGATACCTAAACATTATTATCAAGCGTTTCTTAATTTTTCAGATATTTTCTAAACGTTTATTAAATCTTCGCTCAATTTTACATTTTTGTTACTTTGATAAGAAATCTTTTACCGTCTTTTAAATCAACTTTATCATCATGTAGACTAGATCAATACTTGTCTAACATTATTACTATATTTTCAATATTTTGTGTTTTTCTTTGTCATTTGTAAAATTGCCTTGTTTTTCAATTCTACACAATTTATCAATAATAAAAATGCTAATATTAAGATTTAAAAAATTCTCAATCGTTTCGTTTATTTATCGTCATACCTGTTCCCGTGATTGGCGGAGAAGTTAGCTGTGAACTGCTTATATCTGGAGGTTGTTGTGTTTGCTGTTGCTGTTGTGCCTGTTGTTGTTGTGATTGTTGTTGCGGTTGTTGTGATTGTTGCTGCTGCTGCTGTTGCTGTTGCTGTTGTGGTTGTGGTTGTGGTTGTTGCGGACTGTTCGCATGCACGTTGCTTGGACTCGCTGCGCTTTCAGCCATTTTTCGCGGATGTTTGCTTTCAGTAAAGGTATCTAATACGAGCTATGGCATTTCTACGTATGATAACTGTCGAAGACAGTGTCGTTGTTATTGCGTTGCGTTGAGGCCAGCGACGAGGTGAAAATGAATGAATCGAACAGTCAGTTTGAATAGTCAGTCACTTTCGAGATTACTCGAGTACTTGCTTTGGACTTCTATCCCATTATACTCTCGTTTATGTGTAAATATTCACGTATGGATTATTGCAGGATTTATTTGCATTTTTCCATAATCGTCGGGATCATTGTCTCTGAGAGACAAGAGAAAGAGAAAGATCTCTTCAAAGCATCTTCTTTTATGAAGCGTGCAACGTTTTTCTCTCAACGTTTTTCTTACTTTTTTTTTCTCCTCCGTTCGTGATTTTATATTGATAATATCGATTTATTTCATTACATTCATTTAGATCGTCATTAACGGCTCGTATCGATACGCCACTTTTATATCACGTGAATACAATAATACGCCGATATTGGAAAGCATCTCATGTCCAATGTGTCTGCTTTTGAACCATTTTTCGCTATACGCGAGAGAATATTTGAGAATATTTCGATTCATTTTCATGGGATTAGGTTCGTCGCTTTGAAAAAGACGTGCAAGTAATGACAATGTATCAAAAAGGCAATCTTTAAAAGATCCTTCAATATCGTCGTGCACTATCGAAAAATCTCGAGATCAACATTTTTAGTTTAAGACAACAAGAGAAGAAGTCATTTGCATATTCATAAAAATGTAAAACGAGTGATTTATGATGCGTTCGAAAGTTGGGAGAAACCGAACTGTAGGTTGGACCAAGAAACTGAGAGCAACAACAACAAATATCAGGATGGAAAGTGTAGAAGAGGGGTAGTTGGAACGGCCTCGAGTGGCAGCTCGAGCGAGTCGATAGGTCAGTGGGTCTCGTTCGGAGAGGGTCGCTTCGATTCAACCACGCGTTTCCTCGCGCGCAGCCTCGAAATAGCGAGGGAGCGTAGCGGTCGAAGTCCTTAGACTCGGTGCGAGTTCGATCGGCCCGACCGTGCGGATAAGGAAGTGCCAAGCACTATCACCGAAGCACGAAAACTTGAAGCTTTGAACAATCGGTAGCGATCGATTGTTTACAAATATAACCAAATTTCTGTATTTGTGCTAAATTGATTTTATCAATGTAACAATCGCGATGGATTTCAACAATTCTATGGTTTCGCGTTGCCAAAGTACGGCACATGGGACAGCGAGTGGTCTTTATTGTGAGTTGCGACAAGCATGTTTAAAGAAGAAAACTCACGAGGACAGTTTTACTCTTCACTTTCATTCATAAGCATGCATTTATTGCTCGGTTAGTTATGATAATTGTAAACATGAGTATCGTTTTTTAAAAAAAGAATTGCTAGAATCAGTATTGTTTGATCTAAGCTTTAATTAAGAGTAATTTAAGAAAGATCGGACACAATCGAAGAAAATAGAGAGGTTCAAGTGATTTCGTGCATCGATCCGCAAATCGGCAGATCCATGTTCGATCGTCATTGATCATTTGGTTTGCTTTTCGCCCAGATGATTGACTTAAAGAGTGTCGGATCGTTGATCGGATTGAACGAAGGACAACGGAGCGAGGCGGTGCTCGCGACCTTCGACGATTAATTCGACGGCTGCGGTCGATATCTCGCCATCGCGAGCCTCGCACGCGATAAGATACTTTAACACTCGCGACGAAATGCTGCCATCGGTCGTCGATGGCTATCCGTGTCGCGACGCTTTTCCTCCGTCGATTTCGTCGATCACTGACATTCTGGATCGATCACCACACTGCCGAGGACACCCACATCGCGAATCACTCGTACTCCTCGTGTGCTGTGTCCTGGTATCATCGATGGTATCTACGACTGTAGACTCCTTCGTGAACGCTTTATTTCTGTTGATCGTCAACAAGAGCTATCTTCTGTCAATTTCAAGTACTTTCTCGTATCTGATGTCAAAAATGATTACGTTTCGAACTTGATTAACGGAAGGTGAAGAAATAAGCTGGTGCACTCGAATATTGGCGAAGGTATCTCCAAGGAAAGCACAAAAGCTCGGGATTTGTTCGAATGCCTCGTGGTTTTACATCGTGCTCGCCCGACGTGATCGTCGATGATGGAAGCAGAGAGCCCGCAGCTTGTCACGGAGGAAGGCACGTTACTTTTTTCGCTGGTAACTCGAACGAATCGCGCGCGCGGTGAGTAATACTGCGCGTTCCCGGAATAGATTCATCGAGGAGGAAAGTCGTCAGATCCTCGTCCCGGGCCGATCCTCAACCTTCCTTTCTTCCTGTCTTCCTTTCGTTTCGGCGCTATGCACTTTACGGGGCACCAGTGGCTCCTGCTTGCACCGACCACCACCAGATGGCATCCGGGGATTTGACTCGCCCCCGAGCAACCCCGTTCCACCCCCGGAACTCTTGCCATCGCCACCCCGCCCGGATTACGCTAGATAGCGAGGGTTTCCAACCCTGCGCAATATTTACGACGTCGGACGTAGAAGGGCTTTCTTCATGCAGAGATCGTTATTAAAGTTATGACATACAATCAGAAAGGAAGATGAAGTAGTAATATAAAGAGGCAACGCAAATGAATAATAAATATTGTTGATGATGTAATTCAATATTATGAGATGAAATAGAATCTTACTGTCCGTGAAACTTAATATAATATATCATTACTTTTGTATCATGCTTTTGTATTATGTGTATTGTATTACTAATATTTTACATATTTATTATTACAACATACACACATTTTATACGTATATGTATTATTATCTATTATTAAAAGACCCTCTGTTTTACCGATTAAGAACTTACACACAGATTTATATGTCATTGATACATTATTATAATACATACTACTACATCAATATCTCACGTATACATAAATTTTCGTGTAATGTCTACATCTAATTCTAAGAACTCCACATTGTTTCTTCGTGCGAACTACTAGTCTGTGAACTATTAATTTGTAAGCACAAATTGTGTGGCTTTTATTTCAAGCAAATATTGTCATGAGCTCTAGAATATTATATTGAATTAGTATAAGAAATAGTAAAAAGGATCTTCATTTGAAATTTTTTTTGTCATTCTCGTTATAAACTGCACCTTACGCATTAATACGTATATTTTAGTCCTGAAAAAAGATTTTCGAATTTGTAAAAGAGAAAAAAGTGATTATTATACAAAAATTAAGCGTTTAATTGGTAAAATAGACGTCTTTGGAATCTCCTCAAAACCCTTTCCTTATTTTTTGTAATTTATTTGTCCATTGTGATGAATTGCAATTAAATAGGTTTAAAAAGCAAGCACGTTTACTTTATATTTTTTTTAAATTTACTTAATAATTAATATTATTATTATTATATTTTTATACTAAATACTTATATTCTAAAAGTACTTTTTATAAATACATATATCCGTTTAAAATGTAATACAAATATAAATGATTATTATAATATTAATGAATGATATAAATAATAATTCATATAAATATTAAGGTTATGTAGAGAGAGAAAGAGAGAGAGAGAGAGAGAGAGAGAGAGAGAGAGAGAGAAATATGGATATATTAAAATACGCGCCGGGATTTTCGATGAATGGCTGAACTAGCGTAAACTGGCCTTTGGATGATTCGAGGGTGGTGCACTTTGCGCATGTGCCACTCCCGTGCGACTTTGCTACCCTTCCTTCGTTCGATCGCGTTACTAGCTCGAGTTCGTTGGAGGATAGCTCGTCTTATCGGATAAACGATAGAACTACATAGGCTGTGGGATGTTGGTTGTCTATTATCTACTCCGCCGTGAAATCATTATTATTATCATTTTCTCTTTTATTGATAGGCACGATCTGAATATTGAGGATAGCGATTCCCTATTATACATATTTATGCTTCTTTTAATAAATAACAACTGGGCAACATGGGACAACTTCATATCTCCGACAACAATCATCAAAATCTTAAAATTGTTCTGTACTATTTGAAGACAAATACTATTGAAAGAATTGTACGACTAAAATTCTTGTGGAACATTGTGGAAAAGAATCCGTATCATTTTATACATGTATTGTCTCATCATAAGTATTTATCTGTAATACACTGAAGGAGACCTAAGAATCGAAATGTTTTGCATATTTTATATTCAAATTAATTAATCTGTATAATATATTATTTCTACGCACTGTTGGCTTGGAACTTATTTTCTTTCAATTTACTCTTGGAATCATAATTTTTGTTTCTTTGTAATATTAAAATCTTTGTTAAATTATTTTATTACAATAAGAGAGAAAAAGAGAGAGATAATTTTTATTGGATAATGTTTGTGACAATATAAAGATTATATTGATTATGAGAAAAAAAAATAAATTTTAATAAATATCTATTTAAATAGTGTTAACTTAACATTTACTCACGGTAAATGAATATTAATTAAATTAAATAAAAAAAGATAGTCAAATTAACGAGTCTTGTATCAAATAAACATAAATTTATATCTAGTAAATATTCAGCTAGTACAATCCAAACAAATATTTATTAAAATTTACTAATTTTTTCTAAGTGTGCATGCACATAAATTCATAAGGTAGAAAAGTTACAGTTATATCTTTTAATATCAGTTTTTAATTTCGATAATCAATTCTCCTTTCTTCGAAGATCTTTTCGCGAATGCTTTTATCGAACGCCTCAGTGAATATCGTGCTACCGTTATTGTGCACCCTTGCGAATGAATCTGCGATTTAAGCGTGTCCGTTTCGTATTAAAACCGTGTCCGGGATGCCGGGAGGAGAGGGGAGTCGTGTGCGAAATAGGCCCTCTCCATCGGACCCGGAGGAGGCTAGCATCGGGCCCATCGAGAGACGCGAGCCGTTGCATTTTCAGAACGGTACTCCTAACTGTATCTCGCATATGTATAAGCGCGTATGTGTGCCGCGCCGCTCACCTGTCGGACAGCCGCGCTTGGTGCGATCGCCGAACAACAGCAGCCGATGAACTCACCGGCACGACCATTGATCCAGGGAAAACTGGTGCATCTCGTCAGATATTATATTATACTCGGAATTAATATTTCTTATATCTGTTATTATACTGATGAATTAAAATTTTTTTACTTTAAATACGAAATGCCACTACGGTCTGAATATTAGATATTGAACTATTATATGTATTCATTTAAAGAAATTAATTTCAGAAATTATAATTGAGTGCCGATATGGATGTCGGACTTTCAACGCAATCAATCTGAAATATTAATTCTCCTAAATTTCCCAAATTTAATCTTAAAAAACTGTAATAAACTTATTGCGAAAAATATTGCCTCGGCCTCGAACCCGGATCTCAGTTTTTAAGATTAAATTTGGAAAATTTAAGGGGATTATTAATATTTCAGATTGATGGCGTTGAAAGTCCGACAATCATATCGGCACGCAATTATAATTTCTGAAATTAATTCATTTAAATGAATATATAATAGTTCAACATCTTAACATTTAGACCATAGTGGCTTCGTATTTTGAAGTAATGTATCTAACATAAACGGTCTTATTTCCAATCTTATTAAAATTCTTTTCTTTAAGTTCTTATATTAATATATTTCATAAAATTGGGACAAACTTTACGTTTTTAAGCATAACAAATATAATTTGAGATAATACATTTAAGAAAAATAATTCTATTTTCGGTCGAAGTAGATTTTAACACGTAAGGCCCAGTTCCATTTGTTTATCATCTCTTTCCAATTCTAGATCGGAAAGAGACAATGAATAAGTTGAACTTCGGTTAAGAGTTAACTGTGAGTTGTGGAACTGAGCATAAGTATTCCAATTTATATACATATCCAATTCTGTAAACCACGCGTCGAAATATTTTTTAATTTAGAAACGTAATTATGAACAAAACTAGAGTAATGTCGCATATTAAATGATTTTATATTAAATGATTTGATTAACAACTAAGATTCGCTTTAAATGAAAATAAAAGATTATTCTCTTAATTGATTTATTCTCGTCGATCTAATATGATTTATAATTATAGATATGTCATATCAAGTATGGCTAAGTTGAATGTCTCATCCATTCTTAAAATTCATTACTATTGTACATCAATTTTTTATATTAAAAAAAAATTAATGTTTTTAAAAAAGTTTTTGTAGAAACTGAAATAATTTAAGTGTGTGAGATTTAAAAAATGAAATTTCATGGAGAGAAATATTCTTTTAAAGTGACAATCTATTTCTGTATCTTCTCTTATTCTGTATCTTCTTGTACATAATACTGTGTCTGAATGGCTGAAACGAGTCTCCTGAGCTTTAAAGAAAGATACGCGAGAAGCAACGGTTAGCGGATCTTCTTCTACGCAGGTAGTTACGGATATGCGGGTCGCGTGTACGGATACTCACGTAATGTGGGCCCGTTTGCCGGAGGTACCGTAAGACCTTGCGGTATTACGTCACAGCGATAGAGAACTAGCGTGGTTAGAAAGGCATACAAAGGACAACGGAGAAAGAGGCAAAGGAGAAAGGAGGGGTAATATGCTTTTCGCGCGAAGATAAACTCTGTTTACTCGAAATTAACATTCTTGACGCGTTGTGGACGAACTCTATTTCCGTCCATAAACATGATATCTCGAAATGATATACCTAATGTTATATTTAGGTTCGACTTATTTTTGTCACAAACTTTTTGACGTTATAATTATTGAAAATATGGATATAACAAATTGTTGAATTATTAATAATTTTACAGAGTGCCGAATTTAAATGGTCAATTTCGAGAGTGTGTAGGAGATTGATAAACTAAGAAAAAAGTTCTTTAAAGATCTATCGTTTTTACTTCGTTTTGGAGAAAATCGGAAAAAAAATCCAAACATAGCTTCCATTTTTGTATTTATTTATTACTCATTCATTCACATTATTTATTTATTCACGTTGTTACTTGCTTGCAATGCAGATATTGTTCAAAATGTTGGCCTTTTGTATAATGCACGCATTGCATCTTGTATGGATCTTGTACGGAGCTCGTGTTGCAGCCAAATACTGATCAGATCAACGTAATGCTAATCCGGTACTTTCCGTCTGGAAATCAGCGCGCATACTCTTACATTGTCTCTGAAGCATTATCGCTGAAGTCGTACACGAAAACAATAAATAAAATAATATTGAGAGATCGAATTGTAACTACAGTGCACGAAATATCATCAGATCAGTGTTTGACTGCAACACATGCTGTCCGCACTAGACGCAATGTTTCCATTGTTGCAAGAGTTACATTAAGAAAGCGAATAAACAAGTGTAAATAAATAAGTAATAAATAAACACAAAAATGAAAATTATGTTTTGTCTTTTTTTATGATTTTGTTCAAAACGAAGCAAAAACGAGCATATCTTTAAAAAAACTTTTTTTCTTAGTTTATCGATTCCCTATACACGTTCCCCAAGTTTGGCCATTTAAATTACGTATAAAAAATGTATACGTATAATATAATGGTATATTTAAACTTAAAATGTATTTAAGCTTCTATTAATAAATCGACAGAGCAAAGCAAACAAATGGTATCACATCGTCGAAAATCATTAAAATTCT